ATGAACCTAATCTAACTTCTCACTTCCAGAACTCATATTTAATTATCAAATAAATATATATATTAATTAGAATCATTTCTTTTATCTATCATATATTGAAGCACCTGTCATTTTAAATAGTATCTCTGGACTTCTATATATCCTAATAAGTAACTCATAAAATATTTCCTCTTTAATGAAATCTCCATCCACTCTTGCTATATATATGCTTTAACACAAATCAAATAATTCATATGTTTCTGGCATCTCTTCAAACATTACTCTTGTACTTATTTTGTCATATGCAAATCTCAAAAATCTACCAATTGTCAACACAAATGTTGCATATATACTTATTATTGACATATTTGTTGATAATGCTCCTATTAAACTACCAAATGCTAATTCATTTAATACAAAGAATTCTACTCTATTTTATGATGATGCTATATAATATTATATATATTAAATATACCTCCTATTTATTTTAAATCTGTTGAATCATCATTAGGTACTAATTCAAAAAATACAAAATCACTTGTTTTTTTATGTATCAAACGAATATCTTAATAATAACTGATTTCTTCTCTTATATTAACTGGTTCTAATCGTAATGCTTGAGTTTCAGCAGACTCTCCAACATATAAGAATTTTGGTACTAATACTTTTATGTCAAATACTGCATCTGGTGCTCTAGGAGCTAAGATCTTACCAAAATTATTAACAAAAGTATCAGGTGCTTATACAATAGATTAACCTGTAAATGATTTTGCACCACCTTAACTATCACTCTTTTAAAATACCCATTCACATTAGATTTCTACTTAATATTCTTATGATTTTATCATATTTCTAATTTAATCTCTATAATTTTCAGGAAGATTCCATTCAAGATCACTAAATCTTTTAATTCTTACTTTTTACATTCTTTCTTACCATGATGTTTCAATTTCACCATATATTTTTTATATTTTTTTAAATTGTTCATTTGGTATATCCAATAATTCTAAATCATTTACTTAAAATAATGTAAAGAATAATTTATCATCTTAACCAAAGAAAGCAGCTTTAATACTAAATTTACCATTTGTTATATTATTAATTTCTACTGCTGGATTTAATGTACTAAAAATTAGAATTGGTAATATAATAATAAAAACAATAAACATAGAATAAAGACATCCATTTAAACATTTATCAGATGATGATCTTGGATCACCTAATTTATGATTTTCAATACGAGAATCTTAATAAGCCTAACATATATATAAATTAGCAAAGATATCTTCAAGTCTAAACCATTATATTAAATCTAATGCTGTAGTAGTAAATGTCCAATCAATAATAACTCTTAATTCATATAAAAATGGAATCATTCTATATATTTTAAATGCCATTGAATTAGCTGGTTTATGAGAATTAGTAAATATTTATGAATACTTTTATATAGGATATCCATATCTAATCTAAACAGATGAAATCATAAAATATATACAAACTAGAATATATGCAAATATTAAATAATATGATTCTTAAAATCCTAAAATAATAATTAAATAAATAATACTTTTATTAGTTTTTTATGGTATAACAAAAAAAAAGTAATAATGAACAACAATGATTAAAATGAAATAAATGGCTACTTTAATCATTAATGTATATTTCTAAATATCATTTCCACTTTAATTTTATTTATCATTTCTTGGATCTTTAGTCACTTTTCTCATTATAAATAATGCTCTATCAGTAATTATAATAATAATGACAACTAAAAGTACGAATATTACTTCAGATGAAAATCTTTGACTTTATCCTTATGTTATATGAGCATAACTTCGTTTAGCTATTATATTTGGATAAAATAATAGGAAATATACTAAAATAATTAAACAAATAATAAATCCTGGTGCATAGAAATCTCTACCTACTTTAATTTATTCTGGTAAAACTACTCCATCTTTAATAATCATCTATTTAGTTACTGGATCATATTTTCTTTGAATATAAATAGAAGATAAAGCATGAGGAAATAAACGATAATAATACTTGACTATTTATTACCAAACTGATGTAAATGTATCTTAAATAGATATCATAATTGTCTATTATTCTTTTTATTATTCTTAAACTTAATGATTTTCTGAGAAATCATCACTTTCTTATTCAGATTCTTTAGAACTAGATTCTTATTATTGATGTTCACTTGATTTATCATCTACTTTTTATTTAAATTAAGGTATGAAATATTAATCTAATGATAATTTCATATAATCCCATATTCCTTAAGATTATAATAAATACCTCTGAATTAATAAAGCAATAAATAATATTAATTCAATCCATATAGCATTCATAAATGTTTCAGCTCCTTAATATTTTCGAATACCAATAACATAATCAATTCTTGTGATTTTCTCTTATTATGTAGTTACTCTAGGTTCACATGCTTCTTCTTAAGAAAATCCTATAAATGTATATGGAGGTGAATCACAAAAGATAGGCATCTAATATATGAATTTTAATGAAATTATTATAATAGTATATATTAGTAAGAAGTTCCAATATCTTTTAGATGGTACAGGATTTTCTAATAATCCATATAAAAAGGCTGAAAATGGATAAAATAATGCAATGATATTGGCATTAAAACAAGCATTAAATACCATCAATAAAACACAAACTACTTAAAAATAATGTGCAACAAAAACAAATATTAAGACTGATAATTTCTTTTTATCTATTTCATTTTATTATTATTCTTATTCTCTTATATAAGTTTCATGAGTAAGTATATAGATAATTAAATCTTTCAATTTTTCTGAAAATGATTTTTATGGTTATATAATAGAAGATTCTTCATCTGTTTAATCATCTTCAGATTTCTTAAAATCTTTTGCACTTTGTTCTTCTGATATTTATTATTCTCTTTCATCTCTTTCACTATGAATTTCATAAGATTTACGATCATCTTTGAATTCTTCAAATGGTATCATTTTAATATCTCTCATTGATGTAGATTTTCTTAATTATTATACTTTAAATAATTAACCTATTTCATTATCTACTTAAATAATTTTTCTATCAATTTCATCAATTACTCCTACATGATAATTTATTAATCCTATTCTATCATTCAAATAAACTTTCTCCAATTATCTTTTTTCTTCCAATAATTTCAATTTCTTTAATCTCAATCTTAAATCTTTTTCATTTATTGAATATTTAACAATACAACAAGCATCATATAAATGTATTACTGGTGCCTTATTTTATTAAGTAATCTTTTCTGCTTTTATCAATTTCTTAGGTTCACCTTTAAAACCTTAAAACTTTTCAGAATCAAAACTTGTATGTTATTAATTATCTTCTGATCGTTCTTCAGCAAATTAAATAATCTAAAATTATTCTTCTCTTCTTGGAGTCAAATAAAAAAAAGTTTTCTTTTTCAAACTATTATTATCATCAAATTAAAAGAAATTATCCCATTTCTCTACTCTATTTTAAACTCTCTATTGTAAACTTTCATGTACTTATTTTTATGCTTACACATACTTAAAATCCCATATTCTTTTCAAATGTATTCCTTCTATTAATTAAATAGCACTAATTTTTTATTATTATTATA